TTTAACAAAATTATAAAATATCTAATATTATTTATTATTATATAGAATCATAGAAATATAATAATAAATAAACAAGTAAAGAGCTTTACTGATAATTCAATAACTTCAAAAGAATTTACATTTTCAAATAAACTATAGGAATTCGATTCTAAGAATTTATCAAATTCGATAAATTAAGTACTGTATTTATATAAAAATCATTTAACTATACATCCATCAGAAGTAAACGAAGTAAGAAATAAAGACACAATAAAAAGGATTAAAAGAATAAATTTACAAAAAAATGAGATATTCATAGAATGTTATATAATTTGGCCATTAGAAGAAGAAAGGATAGTGTTGATAGAAGAACCATTTGAAGAATATTTTGAAAAAGAAGTAGAAAGTAGACCATGTTATCAGAAAGAAATATTAAAACAAGAATTTAAAAAGTATATAAATGGCCAGAGGACTTTACTTCTAGAACAATAAATGATAATGTATTATTTCACATTATTAGCATTGAGGAGCTATGAATTCAGGATAGAATTGATTAATAATCTAATAATGTTTGAATATGATTATATTGAACAAAAGTTCAAACATATTAGAAACAAAGGAAGAATATGGAACACAGGTTTTAATATTAAACCTGGTCATATTATATAAATAGATCGATCATATTTACTAAAGAAAAATGTTGAAAAAGATTATTGGGAAGAAATAACTAAACAATAGTTTAAAAGATTAAAGTTAATAGGAAAAGAAGAATGGGTGACAATAGATTCATTGGAACACTGGAAAATGTATAATCAAGATATTATTAACTTATTGAAAGTATCTAGAAATTGAAATGATATTATAACTAAAGAATATTTCAACAAATTAAATACAACATTACAAACTTTAATAGATCATAAAAATTATTTATGGGAAAATTGGACTAAAATTAAAATACATTTACCAAATTATGGATAACCATTCAGATGGAATAAAGGATTAAAAGAGGAATTTGAAATAGAAAGAATAAAATTCATAGTAAAATTTAAAAAGATATATAATTTTATACAAAAATATTCTTATCCAAAGATACTTAAAGAATTTGAAAAAGAATTAATTTATTTACAATGGAAACTTAAAGGATTAGAAGGAACAAGATATAAAAAATGTAAAAATAAATTAAAAAGTAGGATAAATGAGATTATAATGGATAATTTTATAGGACTTTCATACTTATACCAAGGACATTCTATAATATATGAATATGAATTAGATAAAATAAGTGAAAAATGGATATTCGAAAAGAAACCTATTATTAAAAACAATCATGTAATGATTAAATGTATATATTTTTATAAGAAAAATGGAGAAAAGGAATTATATTATAGAAAATTTGAAAAATTTGATATATTCTTTAACAAAGAAATTAAAAAATACTCCAAATGGACTCATGGGTTAATAGAAAATGAATCAACAAACACATCGGAATTAGTGTAACAATAGTAAAGGAATGGATGAAATGTTTAAATGAACATCTAAAGGAATTTACATCATTAGATTATCATAAAAATTTTTATATGAATAATCTGAATATCCAGAAAAATGATATTTAAAAATAATAATTTTAGAAAATAAATATAAAAATATAAAAATGTTTAAAAATAGAAACACTAGTAAATTTATAGTAAGTGGACTCAAACTTTTGGAAGCAACCATATAGTTCAAACTGTTATCAAATACCTGTCTTTGATTTGTTGTTGACCCTTTTTATATACAACTGAGCTTTGTTACCTCTTAAAATATATATATATATATATATATATACTATATATGACTTACAAAAAAACTCTTTCTACTAATCCTTTAACTATAAACAAAAAAAATATTCCCAAGAAGTTATTATACTTCTATACTAAGAAAACCTTAATACTTTTTTTAAATCAACTTGAGAAGAAGTTTAAAAGACATCATTATATTTCCCCTTTCTTTTGAAAACATCTCTTTTCAAACAAAAATATGATTTTTATTGATCCAAGCCATGAAATATTCTTCTTACTAATGGCAAGAAAATTCTGAAATGAAAAAGAACTAAAATGCTTTAGTTCTTTTACTTAGTAAAGAAATACTACAGAGCTATATTTATAATAAAATATCTTTAAAACATAATCCTCTACTCTCTTGTTATAATATTAACTCTAATAGTATCCATTCTTGATTTTTTTTAAAGAAATTTGCTTATAACAGTTTAATCCTGAATTTTGAGTAGCACAAAGTTTCTCTCACAATTATTAAATAGAAAAATATATATTAGTAAAAGAATATAAACAAGCTTTAATTGATTATCTTATGTGTTCTGAATATTTACTCAATTTCATAAGAACCTGGGGTTCACTATAAGTCATTGGATTTTGGATGCAAATAAATATGGATACATTTCTATACAAGTCATTAACTATCTCTAAAAAGAGTTTATCTAACTATAGCAAAAGTTACAAGATGCTACACCTGATTTTTAAAGATGTGGTTATCTATCTCTAATCACTATATAAATATCTTCTAGTTATATTTATAGGTGAAGATTTGAAGATAAAATACTGGTTCCTCTATCTATTCCTTGATTCAGCTTTTAAAACATAGAGAATTAAGTATATAAATAATGATCTTTACTATACTATTCTTAAATAATAAGAATCAAAGAAAATGGTTTGTAGATTGGCTTACTAGTATTAATATACAGTATATGCCTATACCCTTAACTTTTTCTTATTTCTTAATAGGATTAAATTCATCATTTCTTCTTCATATTTTCTGAAAAAGTAACATATTAGTTTATCCTAAAGACTTTCCCCTTTCTATTGAATATTAGTATCTTATTCCTATATACAATTTATATTGATATTTGGGGAGTTTCTACAAGAAAACATAAGTCAGCTACCAAAGATAATAATCAATATTCCTATATTTTTCAAGAACCTAGGTAAAGACATTTGAAATATAACTAATATTGCACAAAAATTATTGAAAAATCTAAAATATTATTAAACTATACATTGGTATTTTTATTATTATATATGAATAAGTATTTGGTACTACTTGAAAAGTTTTAATGAATATTTTGAACAAAATTTTCATAAGTTATATAGAATAATTATTTTATCCATTCATTTATTATTTGATCTCCCTTCTTCTTTCTCCTTTAAAAATTTTTCATACTAGTGATCTTTCACTAATTCTTACTTTAGAGATAGCATTATATTCAAGAATGATTAATATAGTTATATTATTTGGCTTTATAGGTTTATATCTATATTTTTAATATGTACTATATTTATATTTAAAACTATATCCAATAAAGTAAATGCTGAGCTAGTGGCTTAAAATATATATATATACAGTATATATATATATATATATAGTATATGAAAAAAAAAATATTAAAAAAAAATATATCTTTATCTTAAGTAATCACAACCTCAATATAGACAAAACAAAAAACTCTTTTCCATTTGACAGTGGTGCAGCAAGCACAGTTACAAAGCAAACAAACAAAAGAGAAATGTCTATAAGAAGGCTTCTTCAGAGCTTAAACAACTCTACCCAGCCAAACTATAACAAAAAAGACCTGGCCAGAGGGTAAACCAAACCCAGGAACCTTGTGCTTGAAACCCGAAAGCAGAAGCCCAAAGACAAACTAAAACATCCAGAACCTGAGTCCCCACTGAAACTGAAATGTACAAATGTACAAGAAAAAAAACATCAGGATGATGATGTCTCACAATACATCATTAGAGGAGATGTTCACATACAAATCTTGTGGAGTGACCACATGGAGAAACAAAATCTACAGTGTCAAGCTCAGGCCAAGCACGAGATCCCAACTTGGAACTCAGTGAACAAAACCCACCTCAACCCTAACACAGCAACCCCCATACAGAAGTAGAGGAGATGGCCAAGAAGATATGGACGTCAACATGAAGCTTGAGAATAATCCCACGATAGATAGAAATGACAGAAAATAAAGACAATAATGCTGTAGCAACTTCAGAGAGAGGAGCACAAGAAACGGAGTATACAAGCTGCGACCGTAATCCTTCTCCAACAGGAACATTAGATACGGATGCGAAAGGTTCAAACTTAGTGTCCCATCCAATAAACTCCTCAGGAAAAAACACATCAAAAGCTAGCATACATATTCAAGGCTCGCAACACCCCCGAAGGCATAATCAGCATATGCAGTGAGAAAATTAACAACCAGGAGTATATCACTGCCTTATTCAACGATTAGTAATCAGCTAAGGATGCAATAATACTCAACTACTCCAAACAAACAAACTCAAACTCAAATTCATGCCAAACACCTTACACAGGATTAACAAGAAAAATAGTGTTACAGTATAGAACATCTCCTAGACACAACAGTCCATGAGCTTCAACAACTCTTTGCTAAACATGGTTAGATCAGTAACATCATAGTATCTACACAATGCATATGGCAATCTGCCACTATCACCTTCATAAACACAACAGATAAAGAGAAACTATTTAATAACTGGAGTATACTATGCAAAGTAGATTCCATCAGAATCTTTGACTCTCAATGGAACCTACAACAAATGAAGGATAGAAGAAATTTCTTCACCATACTAAAAAACTTATCACCAAGCACCAATGCCTTTGACCTCTATCAAATCATCCAACAAGCCAGGAGAAAAACCTGCTACATTCCATGGAGAATGAACTACAAATGCAAATGCTATACAGTGATCAGTTTTGAATCAAAACAAACTTTGCACCAAGTAATGGAAACATATTACAATCTAGAAGAAATCACTATTGAATAGAATCCAATTGAGATGAAACTATGTGCAATCTGTGACAATCCCAATCACTTAGCAAAAAACTATCATATCAAAGAATGGAGACTACAATGGAATGAGTATAAACAGTTACAAGCAGACAAATATGGTAAACTCTATATACATTACAAGCTAGCCAGAACCTCAAACATTATACAAATTGTACAAGCAAGAAATCTAAGAGAAACTAAACCATGCTTCTATGCAGCTGCAGCCAGAGGAAGAAATAAAGCAATGGAGCCACCCAAATTCAGGCAAGAAGCTCTTCAGGAAATTCTCAATTGCATTCAAGAGCTCAAAGAAGAAATCTACGTAATCAAAGAAACAATTGCAAATTTAGATAAATGAATTATAAACCTGGAAAACTGGGATGAGAACTATACTTCAAACATGGATAAAGATCCACAAGAGATCAACAATATTAAGGACAAGGAACAAACAACACCAAACACTACACAGAACATCCTATAATAACAACATCAGTTATAAAAATCTATTGGTAACATGGATCAGATAATAATAGCACTAGCAAATACAATCTCTGATCTGATCTCTTACAATATAAGAGAAGACACCAATACCCAGAAATTTCTTTAATCATAGAAAACAACATAGGTAACAACTCTAACAACAATAACAATATGGAAGACCTTAGCAACACAACTACTCAAGAAGTAAATATACAATAATAAAAGAAACAAAAGTCAGCCAACTACTCCACAATACAAACACATAATCAAAATGAAAATAAGAGAAGACATACAATTTCAAAACAACTCAAACAATACTCAATAAAAATACAGCAATAATTCAATGATAAAAAAGAAGAAAACCCATCTTCACAATAAAATAGTGATAATTAACAAACACCTAATATAGACAAACCTTACTGGACAATTATAATACTTAACTGCCGAGGATTAACACAAGCAGATAAAAGAAAAATCTGGTTCAAAATGTAAAAAGAACATCAATGGGACATAATAGTCTCAACAAAAACAAATGGATTAGAAAAACACAATCATGGAAACAAAAGCATATATGTCATGGTGGACAGTCAGCAAATCACTAGAATCAGGAGTTGAAATAACAATAAAAAAGGACATCGCAATATTCGTGATCAATAAAATAGAATCTGAAGGCAGACTTCTTTGCATCGACTTGACCTTTCCCAAAAAACAATACTGCAGAATCATAGGGGTCTATTCACCTGCTCAGCCAGGCAAAGAAAGACAACAGATTCAATAAAAAGTACTAGCATGGGCCAGCCAACAAAATGGTTCAAACTGGTATATGATTATTGCTGGAGACTTCAATACTTATCCCAATCCAAGCATAGATAAATTTAATAAAAATTGTAAGATATATATAAAAAAATATAACAAGATTTGTGATACGCTTAGTGAAAAAGACTTTATCAACTTATACAGGTTCTATAACTCAAACAAAAAAGAATAACATAGCAATCAAATAATGCTTCAAGTAGGATAGATAGCATTTGATACAACTCCAGACCAATATAGGTATTGATAGACGATACATCCATGATAGCTGAAAAGACATTCTTGATGCTGACTATCAAGCATAAACATGCATAATAGAATCATGGCAACTAGTTAAGAAAAATAGAAGATATCACAGATCTCATGGCAACATCAGATTCAGTTGAAACAATACTTATATACAACAATAGAAAAAATTTACTGAGGAGATGGAAGAGTTTGCAAATGAATGACTAACACTATACAAGATCAGTA